TGTCAGTTTGCTTTCTACAGTTTGTAGTCTCTTTGGTGAGGTTTACATGAGTGAAAAAGGAGTAGAACACATTTTCAGAGATGCAAATGAGCCTTAAAAATTTTTTTCTGTGGGGTTGCTTGTGCTTTCTTGAGTTTGTATCTTCAATATATACAGAAGCGACATATAAATAGGTATTACTTAATAGTAGTTGGAAAAGACTGTCTTTCATAATGTGTTCTTTACAAAATAGGAATTCTTTTGATAGGGCCATTTATATCTTATATTGAACCATTTCTCATCATCTTTTGTTTTCAGTTTCCTTTGAAGCTCAGGCTCTGGCTTGGCTAATTTCAGAAGCCAGCTGCTTCTCTGTCCTGTAGGATTAGCAAAACCTCTCTCAGTTATCTCTTATGATTGTTTCTTTGGTTTTTGTCTATATATTCTATAGACATCTTCCTTTTATGACAGAACTTTTTCCAGGTCTAGAATGTAGCCTCTTGATACAGAATTGTTTAGTTTATGGTTTTGAGTTATGTAGTTCATCAATTTTTTATATGACTTGCGGACAGTATGTTTGTCTTTGTGATAAGGATTATGTATGAAATAACAGTGTGGCCTGGGAACATTTGATCATTCTTCCAAAGTAGTAGTAGTCTTTTTTTTTTTTTTGTGGTGCCAGGCTTGAACTCATTCCTTGAGCCATTCCACCAGCCCTTTTTGTATTAGGTATTTTTGAGATAGAGGCTCTTGAACTATTTGTCTGGGAGGTCTTCAAACCATGATCCTCCTCATCTCTGCGTCCTGAGTAGGTAGGATTACAGGCGTGAGCCACCAGTGCCCAGCATTTTTCCACAGTATTTTTTAAAACCACATACTAATAGTAACTGTCTTCTCCCTTTTCCTTTTGTGTATTTATGTGGTGGAACATGATTACTGATTATGCATGTATATATGACTCTTCATTCAAATTAGTATACTTTTGACAACTTACAAATGTGTGTGATACAAAATTCTGCCAGAATATAGAGAAAGTTTTTCTTATGAAAAAACAAATAAGCAATGAGGTGGGTGGGGCAATAAAATATAGTGATGAGACTCTATTGGCACTTAGTAGTTTATGACTACTTACCTCTTTTTTTTTTTTTAACAAGAAAAGGTGATTGCTGGCCTGTTTTGATGGGAATAAAATAGAATAGAAATATAGCCAGTATCGATTTATCTTTATAATCCACCTGTCATGCATAAACTCTCCTTGCTTAAATGGCTTTTAAAATCCCCCTCCTTCCCTTAATAATTAGAGAGATTTGAAATCTTGAGTAACTCCTGAGTCTTTTATGTAAAATTTCACGTTGTTAATCCACTGAGCACTGCACAGTACAGTATGTGTGGCAGCTATAACAGTAATTAGGGAATTTGTCAGCTGGATTTAATCCAAAAATTACATGTTAGACCCGTGTTCAAACTTTACTGAAACTAATTATCTCAAAATACGTGTAATAATTACTGTTCTGGCATTGCCAGTACTCTGCTGCACCCCCAGACTGGTACTTGATAAATACCAATCTCCCTATAACTGTACACAGGTTCTTCCTCCTATACTTATATTTTGTCTTATATTCATCTCAGTGATTTCAGGAATGCTCCACCAATGTCCTTCAGTTCCTGGCTTTACTGGCAAGACAAGTACTTATTGCAGGACTTACATGTCATAAAATTGTTCTTCCCTATAGCTTACCTCTGATCTAAAACTGTATTTTGAACTAAGTGTTCTCTCTTGTATTTTTCTTATTCAAGAAATTATCTTGGTGCAAGTTTAAGGGTATATATAGAATGCGTAAGTTTGGAAGAAGTTGACTCATTGAAATAAGAAAGGTTGTATCACTGAGTGAAAAGAGACAGAATGATCTTTAGGTTGACTAATTAAATTTCCTTCAGAACCCATTGTCCCTCCATGCCATTCTTCCTAGTATGAAATTGAAACAGGCTTTCTGATGCAGCCGGAGTTAGGAGCTGTCTAAGCAGCCCTGAGGTTGCATGATCTGTGTTGGTGTATTCTTTTATTCACTCACTCGTGCAAGTACTTAGTAGACTATCTACTGTGAGCCAATCACAGTTGATGATATTGGGGACAGAGCGGATAGTAAGAGCATGGTACATGCACGGGGCCTTGCCATTACCTATCCTCTGTTCTTTTTGGTTACAAAATCTGAGGTTCCACAACCTATGAGTCAAGTTTGATAGTTTGCTAGAAAACCCACATAAGTCAGGAGAGCCCTCTACTTATTACCAGTTTGTAGTAAAGTATACACCCCAAAAATGGCCAAATGGAAGAGATGCTTAGGGCATCCTGTGGGGTAGTGTGTGCAGAGGTTCTACCCACTTTCACGGTAAATTACACGCCCCATATCTTGATGTATTCACCAGCTTGGAAGCTTTACAAACTTCATTGTCAAGGATTTTTTTTGTTTTTTTTGAGGTCAAGACATGGTCTGGTCTATTATTATCTGTCTTCAGTCCTTTCCTCTCCAGAGGTTGAGGGGAGAACTTGGTGGGAATGAAAATTCCAAGCTTCTAATTGTGGTTTGCTATTTCTGCTAAGCTGCCACCATTCTGAAGCTATCTAGAGATCTGCCAGTTCATTTGAACACTCAGGAAACTGAGGGATGTAGGAGCTTTGTGTCCCAAACCAAGGACAAAGCACAAGTACATATCTCTTATAATGCCACAGAAGGTCATATTTTCTTCTATGAGATTTTAGGGGAAATACAGTTGTCTTTATCTTGTAGATGGCAATTTGAGGATAGGAATGCTGTCCTAAAATTAAGAAGGTAAATATTTATAAATGCACACACACCAGAAACAGTTTAAAAAGCCTGGTTCTGTGTGGTTGTAACTTATAGTTCTGTGTGTGTTTTCATTGTGATCTATACCCTACAAGCCTGTGCCAAACATCCCTGTTAGCAATCATTTTTGCTCATTTGTGATACAATTCTAATTAATGCATAGATGAGTGACCCTAAGATAGTTAATAATTCACAAAGACTTTTTTTTTTTTTTTTGGTGGTGGTACTGGGGCTTGAGCTCTGGGCCTTCACCTTGAGCCACTCCACCAGCCCTATTTTTGTGAAGGTTTTTTTGAGATAGGGTCTCGTGAACTATTTGCCTGGGCTTGCTTCGAACTGCAGTCCTCCTGATGTCTGCCTCCTGAGTAGCTAGGATTATAGGATTGAGCCACTGGTGCCTGGCTACAAAGACTTTTTAACTTGATTTTTTTTTTTTTTATGAATGATACTAATTTTTTTATGAATGGTTTTAAGACCATTAACAAATCTCATACAATAACTTAAAATCAGAACATTTAATCAATATACTTAAATCACTTAATGAAATATCTCTGTGAGATAGCAGGGAATTTGCTGTATATTTGTTAACCAGTGAACTTTTTCCTCTTGTGCTAATAAACTGTTTTTCTGATTTTCCTTTTTAGCCTAGATTTCCACTATTCATAATTGAATGTGAGATTCTTTTCTAACTGAAATGCTTCTAAATAGGTTAAAAAAATTCTGGAGGGGAGGGTGTCAGCACCGTTATACATGTGAGCAAGCCCACTTCTCAAGGGACAGTCATCCATGTGTCTGTGGTCTTTGTGCAGAGTGCTTCTCTGAGAGTAACATATGTCGGAGTCCACTGCTCCCATCCCTGACAGGACAGATGGAGAATGAGCCAGCCAGTGGAATGGTTGCTGTGAAAACTAAAATAAGTGGAGCTATTATAATTCCAATTAATATGTCCATCTTACTAGTATGTACTTTTGTACATTTAATAGCCCTGAAAGATTTAAAAATGACTCTGAACATTGATTTTGGAAATCTATTTTCTTTATAATTTTTTATTATGACTTGATACATGTTCATTGCTTAAAATTAGGAAAATATAGAGAAATGAAGACAAGATCAAATCAACAATTGTACAGTTAGAGATAAATTCTATTTACATTTTGTAATTTTCTATTTTTTATATAAATGGAGTCCTATTGTATATATACTTTCATATCCTCATTTTTTTCACTCAACACATCAGTAACACTTTCCCATCCTAATGAAACATCTCCAATTAAAATCTAATTTTAAATGACTACACATAATCATTCATACAGTCACCATTGTTAATTCCAGTTTTCAGTGCATAAAAATACTGATGGACATGTTATACACCTTTTTTTATTTATTGCAGTTGTAATACAACATTATTAGGCTGCCTGTTATTTTATAATTTTTAACACTAAATTTGAGGCTATCAGACAGATAGCACATGGTTGTGGTTGGTTGGGAATAAATATGAGAAGGTTTTACATGGTGGCGGATGAGTTGTTTGAAAGGTACACAGACGGGGCTTTGGCATCTCTAAGAGATTCAGGGCATCACATTTAGAGGTAATTTATGATCAAAGATGTGAATTGGAATGCTCTTGAGCAGTGTATTTGTTTGAGTGTGATCCAACTGTAGTAGAAGGATAGAGAAGTTAAAGGAAATATAGTAAAATGTAGGTTGAAAATTTGAAATTGTGTTAGTAGGATAGGTATGGCAATCAAAAGCCCTATGTTTTCTAGAACATTGCACAGTTGTCCCTGTATGTTGGAGGAATTGGTTCCAGGACCCTCTCAAATATAAAAATCTGTTGTGCTCAAGTCTTTTATATAAAATGTAGTATTTGTGCATCCTCTATGCATATCCTCTATTAAACTTTAAATCATCTCTAAATTATGTGTTAATACCTAAAATAATATAAGCAATATGTTTTAATATGCATTTATATACATTGGTCTTCTGTGTATTTTTCATACTGTTTTTTTAACTCCTGAGAAAAGTTTTATTACTTGGCACCAAGTTGTATTATAGAGTTACTAAGTAGTGTTACTCTGCAAAATCAACTTTGCTCAAATGAAATGTACTGCAAAAGTTAAAAGGAATTTCTGTAACTTTTTTTAAAATTATTAAATGACAGGAACAAAAGCCAGGATGGATGTTCAAACATGGTATTTCAGAACCTCAAAGCTGGCCCTGGCCTTGGCAATTATCCGCTCAAAACCAGCAGAGAAAAGCAGCAGAGAATATACAGAGTACCTGGCTACACTGGTATCTGAGCAGGAGTCCAAGCAGAGGTCCAAAGTGGCAGCCTTGGAAGCTGAAGTACTGCAGTTACATCAAAAACTTCTTCTGAGTAGGATTTGTGCAGAATCCTTTAAGAATGGTGAGTACATGAAATCACTTTCTGGTAATACATCACTCATTTTATTTCAGCTGCATACTTATTTAGAAATGTATTAGCAAAACATGAAATTGTTTAGTTTTCTTGAAAATCAGACTTCTTATTACTCTAAAAACATGTTTTGTTTTGTTTTTTAACTTCTAGTTAATCACTAAAAGTTTATTGCCACTTCCTAATAAAAGGCTTTGGGATGAAGTTAAGAGAATGAAAGTTGTTTAGATATGAAAGTTGTTTTTTTTTATGTATAGTGTGGTGGTGGGATTGAACTCAGGGTCTTGTACATGATAGGCAAGTGCTCTACCACTGAGAGGCAGTAATGCTCTAAGCTTACTAGAAAAACTCATTTTAAAATCTCATTCTTCAACTTTATTACTTTAGTGTGTATTTTACTTCGATTTCATATCAGATAATTCTGAGAACAATCATATTTTAAGTATCAACTCTTGACCAGGCATGCAGTGGGTGACAAAGACTTAAAAACCTAAGAGCCGGTTCTGTTCTCAGCATTAAGTACCTACTCTTCTAGTAGGGAAAACAACCTGTAGATCAAGGGCAAACACAACAATGGGATTGGACTTTGAGCACATGATAAAAGTGAGAGCACACAAGGGAGGGGTGAGGATAGATAAGACACCTAAAAAAATTAGCTAGCATTTGTTGCCCTTAACGCAGAGAAACTAAAGCAGATACCTTAAAAGCAACTGAGGCCAATAGGAAAAGGGGACCAGGAACTAGAGAAAAGGTTAGATCAAAAAGAATTAACCTAGAAGGTAACACACACGCACAGGAAATTAATGTGAGTCAACTCCCTGTATAGCTATCCTTATCTCAACCAGCAAAAACCCTTGTTCCTTTCTATTATTGCTTATACTCTCTCTACAACAAAATTAGAAATAAGGGCAAAATAGTTTCTGCTGGGTATTGAGGGGGTGGGGGGGAGAGGGAGAGGGTGGAGTGGGTGGTAAGGGAGGGGGTGGGGGCAGGGGGGAGAAATGACCCAAGCCTTGTATGCACATATGAATAATAAAAAAAATAAAATCTCATTCTTCAACTTTATTACTTTTGTGTGTTTTACTTCGCTTTCATATCAGATAATTCTGAGAACAATCATATTTTAAGTATCAACTCTTGACCAGGCATGCAGTGGGTGACAAAGACTTAAAAACCTAAGAGCCAGTTCTGTTCTCAGCATTAAGTACCTACTCTTCTGTAGGGAAAACAACCTGTAACTGACCCAGTTGTGGTAGGTGTTATAATAGAAAGATTGACAAATGCAGAAGAAGCAATTCATTCTGACCAATTTCTGGGAAGATTTCTGAGGTCTGTTCCTCCAGGATCTGTTTGCTTCTTAGTGAAATGGTAGCAGAACATCTGGCAAGAAGCAAGAGCATGAGCAAAGGCACAGGGATGGAGAATATATATTCCATTCAGAACCCTGCAAACAATGCATTTCAGCGTGACCAGAACACTTATAAGACAAGGATGTAATGGGGAGAAAGGAAGAGTGGTGAGTTGGGAACAGGCTTAGAGGGGTCCTTCAGTATCAGCCTTAGAAATATTTTACTCTATCATTTATTGCTAAGTTGACTGTATAATTATGGTCTTCACTAGGACCCTTATAAGAACAAAGGAGGCTCTAATAATAATTACACTGGGACAACAGATACAAACCTGAGCAAACTGGAACATGTCACCTCATTCACCAGGAGCTCCCTGTTATAGACTAGGCTCTAGACATCATGGCCTTCCTTTTAGACATTGAAGGCTTTTTCTTGTGGATTTCTGCTGTCCTTTTTGATATTTTTGTGGCTAGCCTTCTCTTCCTACAGATCTTGTTCCAAATGTCACCGACTCAATTAGGTCTTCCCTGACTACTCTAAGTACATTTCACCCCCCCTCCACACACACACTAGTTATTCCTTAGGCAATTCCCCCCTCCACATGGATTTTTATTTATTTACTTGTTTGTTGTCTTACCTCTTAAACTGTGTTCTAAGTTCACTGAGGAAGGGACTTTGTTTTTCACTACACTTTTCCATCTAAAGCCTTACATGTTAGAAGGTGCTCAATAAATATTTGTTGAATGGATATAGAGCATAGAGGTTGTTTGGGATATAGCAGTGATTGGAGGTAGGGAGACCTTTTTTAAAAGAGTTCACCAAAGCCAATGCTATTACTTGAATATTCTTACCAAAACTTACATTAAAATTTAATCCTTATTATGAAGTATTAAGATGTGGGACCAGGTAGGACTTTTAAGAGTTGATTAGATTTGGATTAATGAATTGATCAAGTAATAGATTTTATTGAAAGTTTGTCTGTTATAAAAAACCAGTGTGAGTCTATCTGTGGTATGTCCCCCTGTTCTCATGTGATACTCTGCTTTCCTTTGGGACTCTGGATTCTGTAGAGAATCCCAGTAAGAAGGTTGTCACCAGGGGTAGCAATTTGGTCTTAGGTCTATAGAACTGTAAGTTAAATTAACCTTTATTCTTTATAACTCTGTTATTAGTTATAGAAACAGAGAATGGATTAAGACAGCCCATACTAATAGTGTTACATAATTTATAGTCACATTGTTTTTTTTCTCTAGAGTCCTTCATGGTAATGAGCTCTCTCCATCAAAGAATATCAAGTGTAATGAATTTTTCTTTATTATTTCTGTGCAGCTATAGAATTCATGTAATTGCACAAATGTAAAAACCTTAAACTTTGGCTGTCGAAACTATTGTTTACCATTCAACATCTATTTATAACACTGATACTCTGTGTGAATTGCTTTTTTGTAGCAGGAATGTGCTTAATAAATGTAAAAGCCTAAGTGATAACTTGTATTTACTGTATACTTTCACTTATATTACCTGTGAGAGAAATTTTCAAAAATCTTACAATTAAAATCAGTTTACTCACAGCAGGATTGCAGATAAAATGTTGCAGTGCAGATGTTTGCAAATAAACTTTTTCCACCAGTTAGTTTAAACTTCAAAAATGAGAAATAAGTGGATAGAGTCAGATAAATGAATTAACTGTTAAAAGGGAGACAGAAATGTAAGAGAATGGGAATCAGATTAATAGGAAAATAAAGAAGAACATTAGTAGTTACTTAAAGATGTATAACTTGGAAGACTGTTATGCCTTGCTCCAAGAAAACTTCATTCTTGAAAATTGCAACTATATTGTAGATGCATCCTATTATTAAGTGTTTCTTTCCAGACTTTTCAGGGTTACTTTGTGTGTTCTTGAGTGTTTGGAGACAGCAGGCTCTCAATATTTGTTGAATTGAATGCTTCTTGACAGATTGAGAGGCTAGAGAACATAATTTACAACATCAACTATGTATTGAAGCAACCAAACAATCCAGAATAAATAAAGCAGAGCTGAAATGGCAAAATAAACCAATAAGAAAATATGATATGGTTTAATACAGCATATTAGGAGCTTAGCTATTTCTTTATTCTGATTTATTTTTCTGTAACTTCTCAACAAGGAATATACTTTATTATATTTGTTAATGGACTGCACTGCACAAAGAACTTGATTTTAGAATTATGCTCCATTTTTATTTTATTGTTGAAGATGTCCTCACGATATTGGCACAGTAGATGACGGAGACTCAAAGCATAATGCCAAGAAGACATTATTGTCTATCCTTATCCTAACTGCAGGCTAGTCATTGGAGGGGAGAGAATGACAGGAAAAATTTTGTAGAACTTCAGTGATAGAGTTAGAATTAAAATGTGGGGGGTCTGTCTATTGATGGGGGGGAGATGGGGAATCTCTATTGTATGTTCACACTAATTTGGCATTCATAGGAGGGAAGTAGATAAGTGAAATGTCAGGGATGTGCTTTTTCCCTTACAATATTAAGTACTTAAAGTCTTCAGAAATGATAGGCTACTGGATAAGTAAGCTGTTGGCTAGAGTGAAAATAAGGTAAGTGAAAATCAAACCAAATTAATTTAGTGAGTCACATGCCTACTTAGTGAATGTTCACTGAGTACAGGACACTTGAGAAGTAGTGGGCTGCAGTATGCAGAGTACTACAGTTAGTTGTGATTTAACTTAGCTTTTCTAGGTTTTGTGTCTTGGGTGATAATTAACCCAGCTAGATGGCTTTGGGAGATTCCCAGCGTATCTGGCTGACATTTTAAAAATTTATTTCCCTACTCTTTTTCCTGTGTTATACTCCAAGGATTAAATCCTTAATGCTCCATTACCTTCCCAGTTACTGATTCTCATCTCGTATAAGTTTAGAATTAGGAAAATGTTTTCAGCAGGTCTGGTGGCAATAAAGGGACAAAATGGAAGCTGAGTATCATGGCAGCCCTGTGTGTATCCTTCCAGACCCAGGGTGGAGCTTGTGATTATCCTAATCGCCATTTTCCTAGTCTACTGATTGTCATTTTCCTGGTTGCATCCCACCCAAACTTGGTGCCATGTCTTTGTTCTTCTCATCCTTTGCATCCTTTGCCAGACCACTTTGGGGGGAAACATTGTAAATAACACCACTGAGGAACTTGGCATTTATTAACTGGGATATTTACTGTTTTATGCATGATGAAAGAGCACAAAAAATGGAAGCATAAGCATTCCCTTCTCACTTTTCACCAAAGCTCTCATAATAAAAATTGTCAAATGTAATAATTATGGAAATTTGCCTAAAAATGTGGCTGCTTTAAAACATACATGGAGAACATACATAAACATCAAAGAATGTATCCCTAATTTAAGAGATTCTAATGAAAGGCTTTACAGTGTTGGAATTAATAACCCTCTGGTGCCGAAAACAGACACACAAGAGACAGAAAATCTTGACCAGGCAATTTCTGTTGATCAGGAGGGTGCAAGCGTGTGCTCACTCCTGCTAAGCAAATGGGTGACAGTGGCTCCTCCTTATATCCCTGACTCAGTTGTACCTGCCCCTCACCTGGGATTTGTCTGGGTCAGAGGTTCACAGTCTCCCTCTCTTGGCTAAAAGGCTTGGGGGATGGGTTACAGCTTGGTGG